ACCTGTGAACCATAGCCATGTGATGTGAGTGTCAGTCACCTGTGAACCATAGCCATGTGAGTATGAGTCACATGGAGGCAGGGCTTAAAAGCCTGAATTTTGCCTGAAACTCTCAGACTGAAGAAGTCTCTTGGAGGAGAGACGAAACGTTTCATTAAAGAAGAACCCGTCCAGAAGACCTATACAATTTTTTTCTTTTAGATTTTTTACCTGGATTACTGAGATGCATCAGGACAAGCCAGGGATGTGCAAATTTTATGATTGAATTGAAGGGGCCGCAATTTTTGTTGACACACCTAGAGGGCCGCATAAAACTGCACACATACCCAAATGTAATAAAACTGTCATTGTAAAAAATGTTTCGGTATATTTATGTTTATTAAACCAACACACAGTGCAGAAACGTAACGTAGTTCATGCTCAAATTCAGGTATAACAGTTGTACTCTCCTTTAATAAATATGAATGCAAACGTTTGAAGCAAACAAAAAATAAACACTTACTTTAGCGAGCTGATGAGCAATGACAGACGCTTTGAGTGCAGACCCCTGTGTGGTTCYRGTTCTGAWCTCTGTTTATGTRCTTGTGTCCGCAGTAAACTTCTCATATTTAGCTTTGTGCAACGTGTTGTAGTGGTGACTTATGTTAGCATCTCTAAGCAGACTAAACACATGGGTTTGACTTGAAATTCGGTGAACAGATAGTYTACCTCTAAATAYAGAAATAAATGGTTCGYAGAACAGACTGAAACATGTTAACATAAAATGGCACMCAACATACATGCAGTGCAAAGAGAGAGAGAACTGAGGTCTCATGATTAAAGAGGMCTTAAAAGAATTCTGCCATAAATAATTCATCACATTATTCTAATAACAGCCAAACAAAGGAGGCTTGGAAATGAAGATGCACCCCCGACTTGTGCGTGCACTCACACACACACACACACACACACACAAACCAAATAATTATGACTTTGAAGCTGGCTGTCATTAGTCTGCCTTACATCTCTATCTATGCTCACTCACTCTCAAAGCTCCAAACAATCCCTCTACTCACGGGCCTACACAAACAGCTCCACCTACACACATATGCATGCAGCTCATTTCCATACAAACACTCAGGCAGTCACACACGCAAGTCTGCTATTACTTTTGTACACACACAACAATGCAAATTATGGCACAAGGGGGCATCAAACTTCAGTGAATCTACCCTACGTTTACATAATGATATTATTGTGTTCAAAAGTAAAGTGTTTGTTTTCCATATTTCCATAYGAGACGATGAATCCAGCTCTGAGCCTTCAGTTCACAGTTCATTTATTCAGCTGTACATGTAGTTGTACATCAGTGTGTTTATTTGGAGTCACACAATCAACATATTTGAAGCTTGCTGCTGCAGGAGAAAAAAATCTACTTCTTAGCACCTGTTTTTACCAGTTTTTATTTGGAAGTTCCAGTTAATTAAAAAAAAAAAGCTGGCATTTTCTGCATTTATTTCTTCTTTTGGCATCCTTTTTTATTTTGCATATTTCGGATACTTTTTAACAACTTGCAACAAGGAACAAATGACGCAAGCGTGTAAAAAAATGAACAGAAATGTAATTAATGTATAGTCAGAATTTGGAACTAGATTACACTTTGTTGCAGCACTTTGGAAACGAAATACTATCAACAGCTGCTAAAATTAATCATAATAAAGTTATTTTTCAGGTGCGTTAATCTTGCTGGGGTTTGCAAAACAAAAAAAATAGCTGCAAATAGAACAGAAATTGTGAAATTCCTCCACCTAGCGGTCAATTTTTATCATCTATCTATCTATCTATCTATCTATCTATCTATCTATCTATCTATCTATCTATCTATCTATCTATCTATCTATCTATCTATCTAATTTTCAGTATTAAATTATGAGCAGCCAATAAAAACTTCCTTTCTATTATGTGCGTACAGCTTGTGTCTCTGTTGTGAATATGACAAAAAGAAAGAAATATAAAGTACTTTATTTAAACTTTATTTAGAGGAATATTTATTAAATTGTGATTGATGATGCTCAACACAAAGGTGCATAAAGTGCTAAAAAATGTAACTGCATCTGAAGCATTTTGTAAAAGACAAAGTTGTCTAAAACACACAGTGAGCACATTCCTACAGTTATGCAGCATTACTCCCCTATCATATTACTTCTGTACATTTACAACTATCGATGTGTTTACTTCATGAAAAATGTGGGGGAAAAAAAGAGAAAACTTACAGCTAAAACCTACAAGTTCAGTGACAGAAGGGGTGACAGGCAGAAGTTGAAGAGGGAAAAACTGAGCAGAAAATAGAAAAATGTTGGCTAGAGGAAATAATTCACTTGTAGCAGAGAAGATAAGAAATAAAGGGACTAAATAATAAAAGAAATGATAATTGTAGATAGATGTGTTTAGATGGGAATGAGGTATTGTCTGAGTTAAGTGCTGTGTGCCCCTCAGCAGGCCACCTCAGTGGACTTTGAGACACTCTGTTTAACTGTGGAATTATTCTCCGTGGAGACGTCAGTGTGTGTGTGTCCGTGCTTCTCAGTGCCGTGTGAGTGTGTCCGGCCACGCTGCTGCTCATCGGTGTGTGCACGGCTCCGAGGRCCTTCGTGTGACGCTGTGCTGGAGCCGGAGCCGGTCCTGGAGCGGAGTCTGGTCATACTGGCACTGGACACTAAGAAACAGAAGGGAAGGGTTTCACAACATATGTTTTCTTATACTCATAATGTCATTGGTGATCAGAAAAGTAAAAACTGGCAGCAGATCTGCAAAAATAAAATGCTGGAGCATTTTTAATGTATTTTTAAAGTTCTTAAAAAGTAGTTTATATGAACCCAGACAGAAGTCTAAATGTTGAGTTGTTATAATTGAAGATCAGAGTCTTAAAACACTTTAAGAAATAGTTTTTTTTTCTGCAAAAATGCAGAGTGAATGATGTAAAATGACACACTGCTGAAATTTGTTGGGAAGCTTAGAATAGCTAAAGGTAAAAAAGCAGAACACTGGCTAAAAGCTAAAATAAGCAACAACTTAGCTAAAAGCTTAACRTTACAAAACAATTTCTAGATGCTAAAAGTGCAAGATGTCTGCTAGAAGCTAAATGTAACTAAAGGTCAGCTAAAGTCTAAAAGCAGCAAAATGCTAGGTAAAATATAAAAGTAACAAAAAGKGAACTGCAAGCTAAAAATGAAGACAAGCTGAAAGTACCAAGATGTCTGCTAAAAGCTAAAAATAGCAACATGTTGAAAAAAGTAGCAAAATGCTAGCTAATAGCAGCATAAAGCTGGTTAAAGACTTAAACAAAAGCTAAAAGCTGAAAAACTAGATAAATTGAATTCTAAAGTACCAATAGGCTAACTCAATGCAGCTAGAGGTGAACTAAAAACTAAAAGCTAAAATCACAAACTACAGTAGATAGAAGCTAAAAGTAGCAAATCGCAAACTTAAAGAAGCAGAAATGTTAAAAGCTAAAACATCTAGATTTTACAGTTTTTCTAGGAGTAAAATTTTTTGGTAAACAGAGTTACATGTAAATAAACATATTGATACATGAATGATTAACACAACAGAAAATATGGAAGTATGCTAAAGTAAATTGACTCTGAAAATGTACAAACCCCCACCCACCTATGGTGTGAATGCTGAATCAGCAGCAGTCACCCAATAAAGACACAAGCTTCATTTTATTCACTTACAGTGTCCCATGCCTTGGATAAAATATTTGAGGGCTTCGATCACTTTAGCTGGCTGTGGGGAGACAGACGAATCACAACAATGAATCAAGTTCTGAGTCGGTAGGAACAAATCATTTCAAACTAATCATACCTGATCCACCTGAGGAAGTCCTCCACAGTCTGCCATCTGCACAAATATTTAAAAGAACATTAGGGCCCTGTAACTGTTTTGTCTTTAATAGTACTGTACTCCAATATTACTGTACATACATTGAATATGTAGTATTTGGCTATCATTTTGAACAAGCCAATCCTTACCTTGAGAAATGTGGTCTTTGTGGGGTTGAGTTTACAGTTGCATTCGACCACAGCTTCCACAGCAGGAGAATTATCTCCCACAACCAGAAGTGTCGAGCACCTGCAGCAAAAAGCAACAAAGTGCTGAATCAGGCAGAAGGAGGGAACTGTAGGCCTCTTGCAAAACACATAGATCTTCTTTAAAGATGATATTGTTTTCACTCACGTGAGGGTCTTGRCGTGGGCGTGTCCGGCACCAAGAGCAGGCCTCTCCATCTCCAGAGCACCGCGGCTGTTGTAAGAGCGTAAGAACAGACTCACGTTGGACTGGTTCATCGTGGCTGTGAYGTAGTGGCGATACGTGGCCACAAGCTCATGGTTTGTCTGGAGCTCGTCCTGTTCGACACACAGATCGCCGTTTTYAACCCTGTCGTATTTCACTTGAGGGAAAACTCCTGCAGCTCTCCATGATCCCTTACCTTTCCAAACAAGTGTGTGAGGATTTTGTCTGGGAGCGTGTGGGTCCAGTCAGTAATCTGGAACACAAACAGTTTGAACAGGAAGGATTCAGACTGTTTMATTTTTCTAATAAGTGTTATCCTTTTGTGTGAGTCCACACATTAAGGAATAACTCTGTCACTGGAGAGACTGAAGTTTTTACTTCAATAACTATATAAGATGCATGCAGCAATTTTTTTGAACAACAAATGAGCTTCTATGTTTCACTTTTGGATTTTTGACAGTTGTCCAATAAGTCAGACTCTAACTAAAGTTTTAACTGGTAAGAAAAAGTGCTTTCTTWTCAATAAAAGTGTAAATAAAATCACATTTATTTGTTTTTAATCCTCAAAGTGAAGGTATTTTAAATTGTTAATGAGCTTAATATTTACTTTTAACAAACATCAGTCCAACRTGTTGACATGAACAGGAGTCATACTGTAAAATATATGTACATGTACTACATACCTTGTTTGCAACAGTGTCTATGATGCTTTCAGCATTAGGGTTAATGTTGAACAGAACCAACCCGTCCACCAGATCAGGGTGATCCAGCTGCACAAACAGAATAAAATGTTGTTTACAGTTTTATGCTTAAGACATAATTCTCTCTAAATTGTGTGGTTTCTATTTCTTGGGAAGACTTAMGATATAAACCTTCTGCATGTGAATATCAGTGTTGTATAAAGTTCCTCAAAGTGATACTTGAGTAAAAGTACAAGTATCTTATCATAAAAAATGCTTTGGTAAAAGTTAAAGTCTTCTCTAAAAATATTACTCGAGTAAAAGTCTTAAAGTATCTGATATTTTTTGTACTTAAGTATCAAAAGTAAATTTCTGACACAAAAACTACTTAAGTATTAAAAGTAAAAGTACTGAGTAAAAGAGAGCAGTTAGATTTTCCAAAATGACATTTATCGGGAGGTGACTTCTCCAAAAAATATTTTTTCTGATGGCGTGCAGCTGTGATGGGTTGTGTACAAGCTAACATGTTGGTCAGAGTGGTATATATTTATACTTCTCATCCAACCAGAATTAAATTCACTCTATCCAGGAGACACAGTTTATCAGGATAGTATTTTTTAAGTAATAACTCAGAATAAAATAGGAGTAACGACTTTATACTTCTTACCTTTTTTAAAAGTGTAGTGAGTAGAAATTACAGATAATTGTGTAAAAATGTAATGAGTAAAAGTAAAAGGTACGCTGAAAAATAATTACTCAAGTAAAGTACAGATAACCAAAATTTCTTTGTAAAGATACTATAGATGGAGACACAAAAGGATAATTCAAATATTTTGAAGTGAGATTCTGTGGGAAAAAACTTGAACGATTAACATCTTAGCTCTTTGGGTCACCTGARTTTGGAGAAATAGCTTAAACTTAGGTGATTCAAAGAGCTACAAACAACAGATAAGATATTAATTATTTATAAACTTTTACAGAACCCCTCTTCAAAGGATCTGATTAATCCCTTTAAGTCTTCATTGAATTTGGGGCAAACAAAAWTTGTAACTCACAGCAAATCTGGCCAGGATGTATGCTCCTGCACCGACTCCCACACCGACAACACTGCGCAGCCTGCAAGGCAAACAATCAAAATCATATTTCTTCAAAGCAGCTGAAGGAGGAGAGGTCAACCAAAACTGTTTGGTGTCTGACGTTTTCAGACGACTGCGGAGGCAAAGCCTGTCTCACCCAAAGTGTTTGAGGACATCAGGCAGCGCCTCGGAGAGCTGCTCCATGGAAGGATATGTGAACCTGAAAGGTCAAATGTCAAATGTAGTTTGTAGCAACCGACATACAATTCACCCACAAACATGATGAGAAAAAGACAGAATTGTAGATAATAACAGAAACAAACAAAMAAAATAGTTCACTGACGCAGCAGGCAGAGTTTTAGCTCCCTCGTGTTGTCCCGGTGCTTCGACGTGACAAACMGGCAAATGTCTGACAATTTCATGCATGTCTTCATGGTGGAACAGGGACTCATAACAGGATTTGTCTACACAGGAAAAACACACACAATATGCATTTATATGTATATACATCAGTTTGGAAAAGTGCAGATAAGTTAACGAGACAACAAAAACACCAAACTGACAAGTTGCCATCTAAGGATGGTTCTGTCAGAAAGAACAAAACAAATCTGTATTCATACTTTCACATTTAATTATAAGAAGATATAAACTACAGAAATTCCTCTATAAAGAAATGCAATTTGAATACTATGTGCTAAATCACTGCTAAAATTATCTGAAAACACCTAAACTGTGTTGTTTACAAAACACTAGCTAAAAGGTAATAGAAACAAATAGCTACCTAAAAGTAGCATTAGGCTAGATAAAAGCTTAAGTAGGGAAAGGCTAGCTCAAAACAAAAGTAGAAAAAAGCTAGAAAAACAATGGCTGAAAGATAAAGGTCTCAAAAAGGCTAACTATGAGCTAAAGATATCAAAAGGCTAGCAAAAAGTAAAAAAACAATAGTTAAAATACTAAAAAAAACTAAAAGATAAAGTAGTGAAAGACTGGTTAAAAGTAGCAAAAGCTAAAAATTAAAAGTAGCAAAACAGTAGCCGAAAGATAAAAGAAGCAAAAGGCTAGCTGAAAGCTAAAGTAGTAAAAATGTAGCTCAAAACAAGTATAGTAAAAAGTTAGCAAAACACTAGCTGAAAGCTAAAGGTATCAAAAGAACAGCAAAAACTAAAACAGTGGCTAAAAGCTGAAAGTAACACTAGCAAAAAGATAAAAGAAGCAAATGACTAGTTAAATGATAAACTATGCTAAAATGTAGCCCATTAAGACAAAAACAATTTATCACAAAGTACATTTTTTATTGAATATTTTTCAATGAACTTAAGTATTCTATAAGTAACTTATGTATTTGCATTTGGGAAATATTTTTTAAAAAGTTAATCTGAAAAGTCTAAAAATTACAAAAGCCAAAAGTCACAACAGGCATCCTCTGAATCAGTTGAACATTYTGTGAATGTCTTTAATAGTAACAGATAGTTGGATTGCATGTAAAACATATGAAAAAAGCAATGGTTATAGCAGCATTTTTACAACTAACAATAAAAACAAGTTAACTAAACTTGTTTGAATGAATACAGTGAAAAACTGCACTTGTGTAGTCTGACAGCTGCTGCTTACGGTTCAGCCCGACATCAGGTAAGGTCATGATGACGGGACGGTTTGGTTTCACGGTCCCTGTCATAATGCAGTGGAAGTCCCCGTACTGAGTTTCAACGTGCTCTTCCTATAACAAATTCACACACATCCAGTCAGACAGAGCAGGCAGCTGCTGTAGACGTCCAGGACATTTCCATCAGACACGTCTATGTGAGCTGCTGTGAGCTGTAGAATCAAATAATACTGAAAAACCCCAAATTACATCAAAATTTACAGACATTTGCATTTTCCAAACTCAATTCTCTGAGTTTTATTACTGTTAATTCAGACTCAAATGCTAACAACATTGTCCACATCAACTCACCTCAGTGTATTTTAAATTACTTTCTAAATGTTCTCAACAACTGATGCAGCCAACAGAACAACCTGAGTTGTTTTTTGTTATACTCACTGTGATGTGAGGCTCAAAGACAGAGTCGTTGTCGTTCTCCTCCAGAACCATAGCTGCAGTTCAAAGGAAGGCGCAGCAGATTTATGAAATGATGACTTTTAAAGAAGTTGTTTTTTTTTTCCTTCTAATTTGTTCAGGCCAATGTTTCAACCAGAGACCAGGTGACAACGACAACAACCCTAGTGTGTACGTGACAGCCTGTGTGCTTGAGCTGCTTCTTATATCAGACCCTGATCTGTTTAAAGCCTTAACGCCGACCTGGATCGGGTGTGGCCAAGTGGCCCTTTTTCTGTGTTAATCTGCCCTCAGCCTGCTGTGTTTCCATACACTGAAATAACCGGGACATCTGCAGTGAAAAACAAACAAAAAATGTCGTATAGGATTTTTAATGTTTCGGTTTAAATATGGAACACTGTAAAGACGCTGTTCATGTTAACATTAAATCCCCTCAAATGTTTCCTTTTCCTGAGCTTTAAAAAACTTTTTTTTCAAGCAATATTATGTTTCTGGTCCATTTGAAATTGACTGAAACTAATCAATAATCTTAAAAAGATCTGGAAGGCACCTTACATATTGTGTTTTCTGTCAGGTATCAGCAGAACCACAGCATGTCCAGCCAGGCCAGGAGCAGGTCGGCCCTTTAATCTCAGCGGACCATCTGTTATTCACAGTAAACCAGACTGGTTCAGTAATTTGACCTTTCTATATATGCAAACTATCCTATTTAAGTTAATTAGCCTATTTAAGATCTATATTTCCTCCAACAAAATGTGTATATTTTAAGTTGTCATTTTAAGTCAGCAAATAAGTAAATTATTAAATAAATTAAATAAACTAAGTAAATACTTAAAGACCTTGTAATCCCTGGAACATTTTGAGAAAGCATGAGTTGTAGATGATGTGATCTCATGCAGTATTATAAGRTGTATTAGATCTCAGTGTGTTTTGGGGTGACTCTCAGCTACAACCCCAAATCCAATGAAGTTGGGAGATTGTACAAAACAAATAAAATCAGACTATGATGATTTGAAAATTATTTTCAACTTATATTCAATTGAATACACTACAAACATAAAATATTTAATTTTCAAACAGATAAACTTTATTGGTCTTTTACGAATATTCACTCATTTTGAATTTGATATCCACAACATGTTCCAAAAAAGCTTGGGCATTTAAAGTTGGTTTTCGGCCTTGACGCTTACTTGCTGTACTTGCAAAGTCTTTTGATGATTTTCTGGCCTGTATATGATAAAATCCCTAAAGACCTTGCACTTGTTATGAGAAACATTCTTAAACTTTAGGACTATTTTCTCACACGGTTGTTCACAAAGTGGTGAACCTTKCCCCATCCTTGCTTTTATACCCACTCATGACACTCACCTATTTCCAATTAACCTGTTCACATGCTCCAAACAGGTGTGTTTTTGATCATTCCTCAACTTTCCCAGCCTTTTGTTGCTCCTGTCCCAGCTTTATTAGAACATTTTGCAGGCATCAAGTTCAAAATGAGTATTTGAAAAAAAAAGACAATAAAGTTTTGACCCATTTGAACATTAAATATMTTGTCTTTGTAGTGYWTTCAATTGAACATATAGGAAAAACAATTGYAAATCATTGTATTCTGTTGTTTTACACAACGTCCCAACTTTATTGGAATTGGGGTTGTGGCTACCTCCACAACAAATTTTCAGCTGGATATTTGTAAAACAAAGTTACAGTTGGCTGTGGCAGCCATCTWGAGTTGGGTTGACTCCAAAAGTTAATCAGTTGTGGATGTAAGTCCTATCATTACTTTAAGTTCTAATGCAATTTGTTCAGTCGTTCTTAAAATATTTTGCCAACACACAGACAAACTCAACTTCAACAGTTAATGGCGTGGTTTTAGAAACTGATCTCCTGCAATGAGTCAGTGCTCAAAATAAAGATTGGGAACAACTATCAGCTGCTACCACATCAAATTTGATCCTAATATCTGCAAAACTGACAGAGCAAGAGCCTTTTTTGTGTTTGCTAAGCTGGCCATCTTGAATCTGTTGGGTTTGAACCATGAAAATAATTGACCGCTCTATCAGAAAAGATAAGAATAATTGTGATGCCCTACAGATTAGAGGTAGAAAGCAGATAAAAGCAGTGCTCCTCTCACTCATCAATCTAAATTAAAACACTGGAGAGTTCTGCAGCAAAGACCCACACCTTACTGATAAATAATAACTACATGATAAATTACAGAAACACCCAACCCAGTCAGATCAACACAGAAAGAAGTGTCTGAACTAGCTCACAGACAGTACGGCTGGCTGAGTGGAAACGCAGCAGATTGCTGTGCGAACACCTTCCTGGAGACGTGATGCTGCCACTGTCTGCACCATAAACACAGCAGGTTTAATCCGTTTAGCAGTGGCTGAAGAGCAGCAGGCAGCAGATGGGTTTTACTCAGCTCCGCGTCATTCTGACAGCCAGGAACATCACAGACAGCCTGACTGAGCTCTGGCCTGCAAACCTGTTTCACCACCAACCCACTTATTCCAGGTTTAGAACGAGCTCATTTGATGAATTTCTACAAATCAGACACCTACTGGGAAAAACAAAATAACATCTATCTATCTATCTATCTATCTATCTATCTATCTATCTATCTATCTATCTATCTATCTATCTATCTATCTAT